TAAAAGGTTCTTAACAGGAAAATGAAATGATAGATCATTAAAAGATCATTCTAGGGCCCACAGATGGTAAAACGCAGATGTATGTCGCCTGGACATGAGGTGTATCAGTTGCAAATTCAGAGGAGTGGAGAGTTTTGAGAGCATGTCCAGAAGCAGAACTGACAGGCCTTGTGTATGTATCACGGTATGTTTTCACATGGTGTTTTCTTAATATAAAAAGATAAAGATAACATTCTTACTAGACTTTTAGGTTAGATTTGTGTTAGGAAAGGGTGGATTTGAATTCCTAAAGAAGGGCAAAGATGTATGTACAGGGATGTTTATTACAGTAGAAAATAAGTGATAAGTGCCTATCAATATGGAATTGTAAAATAATGCAACCACTAAGAAGAATACAGTACATTTTTTTAAGGATTTTATTTATTTATTTGACAGACAGAGATCACAAGTAGGTAGAGAGGCAGGCAGAGAGAGAGAGGGGGAAGCAGTCTCCCCGCTGAGCAGAGAGCCCGATGTGGGGCTCGATCCCAGGACCCTGGGATCATGACCCGAGCTGAAGGCAGAGGCTTTAACCCACTGAGCTACCCAGGCGCCCCAAGAATGCAGTACATTTTTGTACATGGAAAATAAATGTTCAAGAGACACTAATTGAAAAAACATAGTGCAGAAAGTCTGTATGGTATAAGCCCACTCATCTAAATTAGAAATGATTATCACTATGTCTACCTTATACTAAGCATTATAAGAAAAGGTCTGATGTAGTATATCTATATATTGTTAATAGTGGTTAACTCTGTTAACAGTGGTTGTATCAAAGTGCAGCATGGTTATAGAAGATTTTCACATTATAGTCTTTATTTTTTGTCTTGCTAGAAAATCTTAAACAATGGATAAGAAGAAAAATAATTTTTAAAAATATCAGGGACACAAGCAGTACTTCTAGGATTAACAGGAACTTTAATGAAGTCTTTGAACCAGCTTTAAAACCTAAGTCCTATACATATAAATATTATTTCCTTTTTGAGTTTATAGTAAATTCAAATCAGGGACATGGAGATTATTGATTAAACTGAAATTATTAACATCTCCAAGATGATGCTGAAACCATATTTATTCATTTCCTCTGTATTAACATCAAAAGCAAGTAAATGTATAAAGGTTTTTCGATGTCATTTGTTCTGACAATGCATCTCACAATGGTTTTTGCGGTTTGGTAAAGAAATAGATGTGGAAATATATTTGTGAAATAAAAAAAAACCCTAAGTTGTGTTTTATGAAAAGACTATTAAAGTATGGTTATTTCTGAGCACCTGAATTATGGATTATTATGGATTATTTCCATTTTCTTCTTCCTTCCTTCCTATATTTTCCCAATTCTCCATAATAATCACGAAATTGCCTTTGCAATCAGAAAAAGAGTTCCCTTTTTAAAAAAATTGTTACATTAAAGTTAGGTGCCTATAAATGTAACAAAATAAACCCGATCTATTTCAGTTTGCTTGCACTTTCTATATGACATCCAGTAGTTCTCCTTCCCTCAGTGGCTGAAGTTTGCAGACCGTATTTAAAAGCTGGGACCTAATGACTTGTATTGTGATCACATTGGTCCCCATTTCTCTAAAATGACAAAGAAAGGTTCATTGAGCGCAACCTGACGAGCCATGTTTTAAATGTCATTACTAAAACAACTATGCAGGCTTTTCATCAGACTTCTACAGAACCACAAAGAAAGGTCAGAGCAAACAGAAGCTTACACCTTCTCATAGCCGCAGTCACATGGTTTGAAGCAAATATTTTTAGGTAACACGGAGAAAATTTGAAACTGCAACTTTGGTGTGCATTGGGATGTGCAAAGAGAGACAGAGAGGGAAGAGGTTTTCTTCATGATGATTAAAGTTTTTGCACAAAGGGTTTGAGATCCTTGGATGAAAGCTGTTAAGTAAATACTGCATGATATGCATATTGCATGACAGTGTGTCATAATTATAGTTTGCTTTCAACCATCTGAAGCCTTTCTGTGTTTTCTGGTTTTCACTTCTAAACCTTATAAATTATTTCTGAGTCATCAGCCTTTCACCCTTGGGGCAACTCACAAAATCCATAAAAATGTGGCTATTTTCTTAAATCTCTTTTCTAGCAAATGCGTTCCTCTTTAGCCTCAGAATGTAAATTCCCACAAAGAAAAGCAACTAAATAATACTTCTCTCCCTCTCTTATATCCTCCCTTCTCTAAAAATGTCCATTTTTAATTAAAAGCCCACATACGAAGATCAGTTCTTCATTCCAATTGGGGACCTGAATCTAATGAGAAGAGAGAGAGATGGTAAAATGGAGGAAAGGATGGTAAAAATGCTACTGCAAGGTCGAAGTGCCCAACCTCTGGTCAGCCCACCTGACACTTTGGGCTAGATAATTCTTTATTGTGAAAGGCTGTCCTGTGCATTATAAGATGTTCAGCAATATCCTTGGCCTCTACACACAAGACTACTAATTGGCTTTTGCCAATTCAGATTTTTCCTTTGACCTCAGAGTCAACCTCTACCTACCTAGCTACCTACCAACATAAAATACAGACACTCACAAACACCTTCACACTTTTCATGTTAAAGCCCTTGAACACTGTCTAGAGTTTCTCCTCTGAGCCATATGTGGCCAATTTGACTAGGAGGAGAGAAGCACCGGTAACTTTCCCACACTTCACTGATGTGTTTGTTCATACTTTTAATGTTCATGGTGTTTTTAAGTGACATGGTTGTGTCTTTTAATATTCATGGTGTCTTGACAACTGAAGCTTGTAAATGTCTGCATTTTTTAAAATATGCTAGTCACACGGCAACCCCATGCTCTCCCATGAATATTGGTTCAACCATAATTTTATTTAATTAAATATGTTTATATACCATCTAATTAAAACCAAGAAAGAGATGTATAGAATTAAAAAAGCACTTCCTAATTCATTCCACAACAAAGCAACACGTTACTCATATAAACTGTATTTTTATGCCTCTTATCATATTCAAATAGTGTTTATTCTTCCTACTTCAAGTTGTCTGATGTTTGAAGCACGAAGGAAAATGGGCAGATGGAGTGATTTCCTCTATGGAAGAAACATTATTAATAAATTCTTCTCTATGAAAAACCCTGACAAGTGGATTTACCATTACTAGATTCATAATCGTGAATAAGCACCTTAGTCTCTGCTGGCCAGTTTCATTTTTGGTAAAATGAAAATGATAATCCCTACCTTCTAGGGCATGTTGAATGAGATCATCTGTTTTAAGCTTTTAGCCCTGTGCCTGACATATAGGTGTTTTATTAATATCATTTCTGTGGTACTTCCCTCCTTTGTTCCTAGCACCAGCTAAATAATTTGTGAGATTCAGTGCAAAATAAAAATGAGTGCTCCCCTTGCTCAAAATTAAGAATATCAAGATGACAACAGCAAAACATTAACCCAGTGAGGGGCCCTTCCAAGCATGGGGCTCTCTCGGTGTTACTGCATCAGCTATATGCTCATAAACCCAGCCCTGCTTGCTCCCCTAGTGTTTTCAAGGTTCCATTTGTCTATTCTACTACATTAAAAGTCCCTCTTCAATTTGACAATTGACAGGTAAATAAATGTAACTAACCACGGAGGGCTTGACTGTGTGTTTTGGTTTTCAATGCTGGCTCACTTTTACTCAAGTTGTTGAGTGTTAGTGGGCCTAGAGCTATTATAAAGGAGCTATTTCACTCTGCCATGGCATTTCAGAGGTTTGTATCATTCTCAGCATGGAGGAATTAAAAAAAAAATACCTTAGTTTTCGATAAGAAATTGAATGCTTGGTGATAGCTCAAGAGGCACTTAGTGGCCAAAAAGGCACTTAATTGAAAAGTTCTTTATCCAGAGTAATCAAACAACATTCACAAAGAAACAGCATAGCTTTAATTATTTTAAATCCTAGATTGGAGACCTGGTTCAGAAGTCTAGAGCAAAATACCCAAAGAGGAAGACTTGGTCTCCAAACTGAGCCCCAGTATTACAGGTTACTCCTTCTTAAGGATGCATCAGCATGTTCTTTAAAGGGCTTGTCAAGGTTCTCAGATCCCACTTTTAAGAAGAGAATCCTGTAAAAAAGCAAAATATGTGTGTGAATGTGTACAAATACAAAGATACACAGAGAAATGTCCAAATTTCCTCTACTGGAACACACACACACACACACACACACACACACAAGCATACAAGCATCTTAACAGAAGGCAAAGAGAATTAACATTTATTGACCACCTTCTACATGGCAGGTGTTTTACATACATGGGAATACTAAGGTATATGTTAGTTTTCATTTGTTCATTCAATCTCAAGACACTGAAAACAACTTTTTTCTTTTTTTTTTAAAACAGCCTTGAAACTGAAGCTCAGAGCAGTTAGGCAAGCTGCCCAAAGTCACTCAGTTAGAAAGTTGGACTCTGCGATGGAAATTGCATCTGATTCCAAAACGCATATAATCACAACCCTATTGACATGATTAAGAATTCAGGAGTCTAATCTGCCACAGTGTCTTTGAATCAAACAACAAACAAAATGCAACAAACTTTAGCATACTTGCTAATCATATTAGTTTACGTGGCCGCCTTGCTCTGACCGTAATTCCCTCCCTTTCTCCCACTCTCCGCCACCACAAATCGTTCAGTGTCTAAGGGTTACCAATTGTGCTAACAGTTACCGGGAGAACAGGCTGGCATTTTTGCAAAGCTAAAAAGTTAAAATTTGTGGTATGGGACTAACTCCAAAGATCTAAAAAAAAAGTACAAAAACAAAACAAAACAAAACAAAAACTGCTGTTTGGGACTGCAATCCCTCACTTCCGGCCTCGACTGGGCGAGATGGAACCTCAGCACGTGGCACGACACGATTCCCAGCACGCGCGCCCCTTCGGGCAACTGCTCGGTCGGCCCGGACTGCGCAGGCGTAAAAACCTAAGCGGCTGGGGGCGGTCGGCTCGCGGTTTCCCTGGAGACCGGGCGGAAGCGGCCGGAAGCTGCGCTGCGGTTGGCCGCGACGGGATGGAGCAGCTAGGGGTGGAGCCCGAGGAGGAAGCGGGCCGAGACGAGGAAGAGGACGCGGCTCAGGCCATGGAGCGGGCGGAGGCGGGGGAGGCAGGCGGCTCGCCCGGTGCGCCCGGGCCTGAGGAGCCCGGCGGCCTCACTTGGTGTAAATAAGAAGGGCGGGGCGGGCGGAGGCCAAGGGGCGGCGGCGGCCGTTGGGGTGCGACGATCCCCGCCTCGCTCTGGTCCTTTCGTTTTCTCGGCTTGATGGAAAGAGCTGTTCTCCGCTACCTGGTGTTTTACGGCCAAGATCCCGAAAGGATGGCTTCGCCTAATAGGACTAGGGTGGGCGTGTCAATTATGATAGTCGAGGTTGCACTTGTGATCCCCCAAACCGCCTGGTGAAAGGCCTAAGAGGTGCCCGGAAGGTGTAACGTTGCAGAAGTAGAGAACCTTGTCGCGCACGTGGCAGAGGCTGGGGCTCAGGCTGGGCTCGGAACCGAAGATGGGGCACATCTGCAGTGGCCGTCTCTCCGTGACCCACTTCCAGCCTCTGGGCTCTACCTTGTACTGCCCAACCCCAGGGCCTGGGGCCAAGGCTCTACTTCCCGGCCTCCGCTTCCCCTTTTAACTTTTAAATTTAGGAATAATGTTAAACTTAAAGGAGTTGCAGAAGTGCCTTTCCCTAATGTTAATGTCTTCTATGACTGTAGTACGTGTGTCAAAACTGAGAAATGAACACTGGCATAATGCTCTTGACTAAAGTACAAACGTACCAGTTTTTTCCATTAAAGTTTTTGTGCCATATTCAGACCAGAATACCACATTGCACTTAGCCTGCCTTGTTTTTAACTGGGTAAAAGCTGGAATCTCCTCTCTTATCCCCCATCCCTTCCCCACCCCATGACATGAGGTACTTTTTAAAATTCGAGAAATATTTATTCCTTCTTTTAATTTAGCGAGTATTTATCGGTAGTCTGTTCTATACCAGGCACTCTTCCAGGTATTTGGGATTCAGCACTGAACTAGATAATCCTGCTATCATATGGGCACTAAATAGAGTCCGTTGGAACCCATAGGTCTGGCTTCTGCCCTTTTGTATTTATGATTTTTTTTTTTAATTTAAGAGCATTGCCACTTAGAATAATTTTTAGTTGGTTGAAATCAGTGTTTAAACTTCTTCCCCTTATGATTTATTCTGAATGTTGTTAGAAACTTGCAAGTGATAGGATTACCTCTTGCTTCTATTATTGATCAAGATTTTTTGCCTCAGAGTTATTTCTAGCCTGAGAAAAATGGAGTGCACAAAGAAATAGTAAACAGGACTGAAGACGCTACTGTAGATGGGAGTTTCTCTCGTGTCTATAATTTTTAGATGCTTTGATACATGAATCCAGGATAAAACTTAAAATCATTCTGCATTCTTTCTCAGTTACCATGTTTTAAGGAACTGCCAATTGCTCAGAGATGATAAGCAGCCTGAATATATTTTTCTGTTTCTTTGCATATTGTGCATTGGTTCATGATCAAGTGGTGCCAGAAGGAAGTTCTTCATCCAGAGTCATAGTACATGTGGATCTGGATTGCTTTTACGCACAAGTAGAAATGATTTCAAATCCAGAACTGAAGGGCAAACCTTTAGGTAATTTTGGACATTAATAATAATTTTCGTTTTGTATTAGAGTATTATTTATTTATGTTGATTATATTCTGATTGATTAACCATATTAAAGATTTTGGAAGCAATTCCTAAGGTCCTTTATAGACAGTAAACTTTCCTTCACTACAAGGTATAAAACTTACAAACCTTATTTAATAAATGGTGAATTTTATACAAGTAGTATAGCCAACTGAACATGTGAACAGAAAGACTATAATGAACTTTTAGTTTTGTTCTCAGTGGTTGAAACTTTATAATCTCTTATCTCAAAAAAAGCCATCACATTCTAATGGACATTTTCATTTATCCTCTCCAGTTTTGAAATTAACTCTTAGATTGTTTAACATGACAAAAAAGTTGGATTTTGAACAGGCCCTAAATACTTAAGGGGTATAGAGTCTAAGTTTTCCATAAAAATGCAAGAATCTTTTTAAATAAAAGGCAAAGAGAAACTTTACGTTGAAGATTTACTTATTAATATGTTGGCTTATTTTAACATTTCTATTACATGTGTATCTTAAATTGGAAAAGTCATTTAAATTTCCAAAGATTTCTTTTATGCATGTAGTAAGAATTTATCTTTTAGTATAAGCGTAAAGAGCAATTCTGATTCACCTGCTGCTAACCTTTGTGCCTCGATTGGTTTTGATAAATCCCAGTTCAGCACAGCTTAGTTGATTTACAAAAGAAGAGCAAAGGGAAGACTAGTTTTTGGTATGCCAGTATCAGTCTAGGATCTTTAAACTTTCCCAGGATGTCAAGGAGTTAGGATTAGAGGATGTAAGTTTTCTCCTAAAGGCATTTGTAATTAGTAGCAGTTTAACACAAGATGCTATGTAGATAATGCTCAATAAAAAAGTATTGTGTAATTAAGACACAGGAATAAATTATTATCGAAGTGAGAAATGTGATGTTGAAAGTTTCTGGGAGAAAGCAAAAGTAGTCTTTCAGTTATGCTCAACAAATGCAAATGTGTGACTATTTAACTTGGGCTGGTGACATAGTGGTGAGTCCATATAATTTAATTCTGTATTAAAAGACTGGTTTTTTAGTTGAAGAAGTTACCAATCCTATTTTTTTATACAGTTCACTGATGAATCTTTAATTATGACTTTTGATGCAGAGATTCTATTTTGGGGCATAATCTGATATATCACAAATCTTTATGTGAAATAATGTTTCTTTTCCTTGTTTATAATATCAACATTTTAGAAACATATGTCTTACATTGGTGAAATGGACATAACCTTTTTTTTTCTACTACATGTTTATATTTTACATATGTTAGATGAACATTACTTTTACAATGATAAACAAATGGTCAACTTCTGTAAAGAGAAAATTAATTTCAGTAATCTTAAGCCACCACTAGTAAACTAGAGTTTTTATAATCTGTAGATGATCATAATTTAATCATTATTGATAAGGAGGGGGCCCATTAATGATGGCTTGCTGTCTAATATTTTCTGCAAATTACTATGAAGAACAGTTCAATAATTACATTTATTGGGAGGAGATCTTTAATGATTATAGGTTAGCAATTGTAACAGAACATTGCTTTATATTCATTGGAAAGTTTTTCTAGCAGAAACCAGTAATTAATTGTACTCAGTTATTTTCATCTGCTTTATTTTTCTGGTAAAACATGGCCTAGACTTTATATAGAGAGTTAATTTAATAGAAATTAATCTGGTTTGTATTGTCTGAAAAAAAAAGTCCTAGAAGGATTTTATTGGTATTTTTTTTCCTGAAAACTCCAGAGAGTATATTGATTAATGATAATTTTTGTTAAATTTTACTTCATAGAACCTTGATGAATGGAGGCTATGCTTTTTAAATGAATAGAGCTTTTTATTCTTAATCAAAATAGATTGCATTATAGTTTAAAGTTATATTTGCTTTTTATAGGAGTTCAGCAGAAATATTTGGTGGTTACCTGCAACTATGAAGCTAGGAAACTTGGAGTTAAGAAACTTATGAATGTCAGAGATGCAAAAGAAAAATGTCCACAGCTGGTATTAGTTAATGGAGAAGACTTGACTCGGTACAGAGAGATGTCATATAAAGTTACAGGTATGTTGAGCATTAATTTGTATATAGTATGCTCATTCACTACATGAAATCTTTTAATTAGTAAAATGCCATAAATCACTTTCTTTTTGCTAATAACTTTTATTTTGGGTCTTACCTGCTTTTAAAAACATTTTATGTAAGAGGATGACTTTATATGAGTAATGTTGACCAAAAAACATATAATTGGAAGACATTTAAAGTCTCTTGTAACTGGTATTTATATGAATGTGAGAAAAAATGTAAAACAAAATTTGGAAGGAATAAAATGGAAAGATATATAAAAGATACATGAAAAAAATAAAACATTTTTTATTTTAAGTTTAAATACCAAATTTAAATGAATTAGGAAATATCTGTACTCTGATGCACTAATAGATGCACTAATAGTTAGGCTTCTGTAATGTTTGATTAACATAATTAAAAATTAGATTTGTTGAGAACTGTCAGCAGTTTACACACACACTGAATATGATAGTATAGATAAACTCTTCCCTATTAAGGTTTGGGTTTGAATCGAGTTTTAGTAAATTATAGGAAAAATGAAAACACATTTGTACTGGTATATTGCAATTATATATATAATTTAAAAATGTGTAAGAATCAACTGTTTATCTTTTCTGCTGTTGTTTTTGCTTGTTCTTTTATAAATTGTAGCAGTTTTCAGATGAAAGTGTTAACTGTAATATCCAAAGCCCTTACAAGTTTATAAGAAAAAGATACTTAAGAAAAATGGATGAGGGCGCCTGGGTGGCTTAGTGGGCTAAGCCGCTGCCTTCAGTTCAGGTCATGACCTCAGGGTCCTGGGATTAACTCCTGGCATTAGGCTCTCTGCTCAGCAGGGGGCCTGCTTCCCCCTCTCTCTGCCTGCCTGTCTGCCTACTTGTGATTTCTGTCAAGTAAATAAATAAAATCTTAAAAAAAAAAAAAAAAGAAAAATGGATGAAAGGTATGAATAGGCAGTTGACAAAAAGAATAAACCCAATGTCCACAATTCTGTGGAAAAAGAATACTCAAATTAATTAGTAGCTAAGGAAATTTGAATTAGTGAGGTATTATTTTATGTCCATCATACTTCAAAAAAATGTGAAAGTAGAAACAAAATAGTATACATTTACAAAAAGTAATATAGAAACATTTTTTTGAAATTAGAGATACTATTTAACCCTGTGATACTACTGCTAGGAATTTATTCAATAGAAATAAGGTCATGAGAACATATGTACAAAAATATTTCTTGTAGCATGGTTCATAATTGGTAAAAATATGGAATAAAAACAAATGCTCATCAGGATGAGGATGGCTAAATTACGACTTCTCTATGATGGAAAATGAAATAGCAATTAAAAAGAATACACTGGTGTTATGCAGTTTGACTCAGAGATATGTTTGCCTTGTTGAGTAAAAGGCAAGATGCAAAAACGTGTCATATTGTTCCTTATGTGTAGAACAATGGCCCAAACCCTTCCCTTTACACATACATATATGTCTGTATATAAACAGGAAGGGAAACATGAAAGGATGTCTACTAGGTTTTTAACATTAACTTCTGGAGAGAACATGGCAATGGTGAAATGGGAGAAGGGGAAAGAAGGGCTAGCCAAGCAAGGATAAGACTCTATTCTGAAAATATCACTTGTGCATCCATGCAAAATTGGATGTCTCAATATTAAGAAGTTAATCTTTTCTTTTTCTTGTTTATTCATCTTGAAAGAAGTTAATCTTTACATAGAAGAGGTTGTACATACAGTTGTGCCTCCTAGTGATCTTTCATATCCTTCATAGCTCTTCCTCATTCTTTTTAATGACTGCATAGTACTACATTGTATTTGATTCCATACGCATTTAACCAATCCTTTAGTGATATGAAAACAGTGTGTCCCACTTTATGCCTATTATCCCTACATAATTATTAAAGCACTCCTTTTCATTCAAAACGTGTCTTATGTTGGATGATAAATTACATGGTTTCCCGACAGTGATGGATTTATTTGGCTGTTACCAATTTTTTGCTCTTCCAAATATATGCTTCAGTAGACATTTTCATATAGAAATTTTGGCATATTTTTATGAAGATATCCATGAGGTGAGTTCTTAGAGGTTAATTTCTAGGTCAAACTGACTTTTCTTTGTGATTCAGTAATAATTGGAAGTTTTATTTATTTGAAAGAGACCGTGTGCACACACACTAGTTAGGGGAAGGGCAGGGGGAAGAGGCAGACTAGACTCCCTGTTGAACGTAGAGTGTGACGCTGGATCCCAGAACCCTGAGGTCACGACCAGAACCGGAGACACACGCTTAATCACTGAGCCGCCCAGATGCCCCTCAAAGTTTTACATTTTATTGCTTTTGTCTTTTTAAGACTTGTGGAAAATACAGCTAGAGTATGTTACGACTTGTCTCTGCTTTCCTAGGCTGACTGTATTCTTTGGAACCACTATTTCAAGATCATAATGAACTGTAAGCATTGATAGTTAATGTACTACAGGTATAGAAATTGTACATGTAGGAGATTGAGCTAAATATACTGGTGTAAGCATCTGTCCAGGGAATGTAATTTTGGACTTATTTTGTTGCAAAATATTGCCTTTACTCAAAATGTGGTATAGGAAAAAAATCCAGTTAATGGAGGACTTTATTTAAGATATTGTGGAAGTATGAATATATGTTAAACCTTTAGCATATTTGAAATATTTTTAAGCATAGACTAGTTAAATCCATTTTAGTTACGACTTTAGTTAACATCTGTGCACCAATATTATTCAATTTAGAGTTGTTGGAAGAATTTAGTCCAGTTGTTGAGAGACTCGGATTTGATGAAAATTTTGTGGATCTAACAGAAATGGTTGAAAAGAGACTACAGCAGCTTCAAAGTGATGAACTTTCAGCACTGACTGTGTCGGGTCATGTATATAATAATCAGTGTAAGTGGATTCTTACTGTATTTCGTCACTCAAAATACTTAACATCTTAATGTTCACTGAGTTCAATAAGTTCAATGAGTCGACTATCTTTCTGAAATTGTTATAGCTTTTGTTGGAGGTATAGCCTTATATCAGTGATCTGTCTCAAATGACTAAAATTAGGTGTTGGTGTTCCATATTAAGTAGGGAGAAAGTAAGATTTTGACGACATGTGTAGCTCAGTGCTCCATGCATTTTTCATTTCTGTGACACAGTTTGTGTGTAACCATTTTTAAGAGCCCTACCCCCTTAAGTCATTCTTCAGTTACAAGGGTTTCCTTAATGATACACTTTTTAGAATAATTTTTGCTTCTCCTGAAACTGTCTTTAAGCAAAATTTTGAGGTAAACTAAATTTGTGTTTTGTTGCCTCTTTTGCTTATTCCCTTCTGTTCCCCCCAGGCATCAAACATTCATGTTGCTGTCTGAGTTCCTGACTTACCCTGTGGAAGCTTTCTAGGCCTACCTGCCATCTTTTGCAAGCTGATATCCAATCAGTTTGATTATCTTTGCCAACTCTTAGCAAGAAAACAAAATAGTCCATCTCTTTCACATATTTAAGTATAAATGACTGATGGTATTTCCAGAGATATTTGCCTTTGGAAATAAGCTTCAGTAAGCCCCAGTGAATATCTGTTAGAGTTTAAAACATCTTGTAACTCTGTTGGTGACTTCCGTATCATATCACATGGAAGACATGCTACTCTGCTTTTGTATAAGACTTGCCCTGACCTTCCTGGCCTAGGTCTCAGCATATGTGTCCTCTTATCGCCCTTTTTTGAGAGCTGGTCATCGGTCTCCAGTCTAGTTCTCTGCCATCCTGATACTAAAGAAGAAAACGGGTAGAGCTACAGTTCTCTTCTAGAAGAGGACAGGAAGCTTTTCATATGTCTTCTGAACCTGCTCTTTTGTCACTTATAAGGACTGAATAGAAGAAGTTTCTAAGTATGTTTCTTTATAATTTTCAAAGCAAATCCAGCATTTGTTAGAACATATTACAGAGAGCTAGGTTTTTTATCCTAAAAAGAAAATGTCTGATTCTTCATGAATCCTTCCTCACAAGATTCTGTTAAAAATTTTTTTCAGGGGCACCTGGGTGGCTCCGTGGGTTGGGCTTCTGCCTTTGGCTCAGGTCATGGTCTCAGGGTCCTGGGATTGAGCCCCTTATCCGGCTCTCTGTTCAGTGGGGAGCCTGCTTCCCCCCACCTCTCTCTGCCTGCCTCTCTGCCTCCTTGTGATTTCTGCCTGTCAAATAAATAAATAAAATCTTTAAAAAAAATTTTTTTTTCAAACCCAGAGAAATTTGATTGAGTAGTACAGTGAGAACACTTTTTATTCCCTTCCTTGTAGATACACCCATTGTTTTTTCCTACATTTACTTTATCTTGCTCCCTCTTTATTGATTGGTTGGTTGATCGATCAGCCATTTAAAAGTAAATTGCATGACACTTCATCTGTAAATACTCCTGAGGATAAGGACAGTCTCCTATAATTCTTACACCATTTTCACCCCTAAGAAAATTTGTTTCTGTGTATTTTCCCTATACTTTTCATAAAAGATGCCTTAAACTATGTACAGATTTGGAATTGTTTTCAGTAGCACAATCAGCTAGTATGTATAAAGTTTAGATTCAGATCTTTAAAGCTGTAATGTTAGCTCTGTAATGTTAGAAGTGTAATACTTCTGCTTTTATGCTTGCTTACAGTTAAACATGAGTAAAAGTTTTACTAATATCAGTAGGAAATTTTTTATGAGATCAGTTTTCATAATCTGTTAATCATTAAGCACTCCCAGGATGCAGTCACTATCACAGGCACTTGGAATTCACTTGTGGAAGTTACTTACTTTACAGGATTCCCATGAAGAATGAGAGAGATGAGTTAAGTGGGTGACAGTATGGTGGTGGGGTTGGGGGGACGGTTGGGTTTTTTTAAACTCATTTGTAAAAAAGAAAAATTTTTTTTGGTGACTTCTAATGATATTGGCTGTTCTTATAGGTATAAACCTGCATGACATCATGCACATCAGACTGCTTGTTGGATCTCAGATTGCAGCAGAGATGCGGGAAGCCATGTGTAATCAACTGGGTCTCACTGGCTGTGCTGGTGTGGCTTCTAATAAGTTACTAGCAAAATTAGTTTCTGGTGTTTTTAAACCAAATCAACAAACAGTGTTACTACCTCAGAGTTCTCAAGTTCTTATTCAGAGTTTGAGTCATGTAAAGGAAATGCCTGGTAAGACATTTATATTGAAAAATATCCATTAGTTTTCTTGCATTTCTTTAATTTTAAAAATTAGAGATACAAGTTATTAATTCTTAGAGTCTGAATACTTAGCTCTTGGAGAAAACTCCAAACCCTGATGCGTCCTCTAGAGGGAATATGAAAGTACTTTTCTTTCTTTCTTTTTTTTTATTATTTTTTATTAACATATAATGTATTACTAGCCCCAGGGGTACAGCTCTGTGAATTGCCAGGTTTACACACTTCACAGCACTCACCATAGCATATACCCTCCCCAGTGTCCATCACCCAACCACCCTCTCCCTACCCCTCTTCCTCCAGCAACCCTCAGTTTGTTTTGTGAGATCAAGCATATCTTATGGTTTGTCTCCCTCCCGAGCCCATCTTGTTTCATTTTTTCCCTCCCTACCCCCTAAACCCATGTTGCCTCTCAAATTCCTCATATCAGGGAGATCATATGATAATTGTCTTTCTCTGATTGACTTATTTGCTCAGTGTAATACCCTCTAGTTCCATCCACATCATGAAAGTACTTTTCTAGTTTCACTTACTTTCTGTATAGTTTGAATATGATCATGAAAGTTATAACCTAGAATCACGTTCTTTTATTTCCAGTCCCTGCTTCATATTCTTACACCGCACACTGCATCCAGAGATGGGCATTGGCCTTTTTACTAACTCTACTTTGGGATTATATAGAAAATATTAGAGCTATGAGGGACCTTCCAAAGCAGTTAGGCCAAGTTCTTATTTTAAAGATGAGGAAACTAGTTTTCTTGAGGGGAGTAGTGACTAATTCAGGTCATGGGACAAATTTTTGTCTTTGAAGATCAAATATGGTTTTATAGACTATTAATAAGGGATATGTTAAGCTTCATTTTTATGGCATTGCTGGGGAATAAGATATTAGAATTCTGTAGAAGTGAATTTCTAAGTCAGCTGAACCTTTAGATGTCATAACTTTGTGTTTGTTTTTTAAGATTTTATTTATTTATTTGACAGATCACAAGTAGGCAGAGAGAGAGGGAGGGAAGCAGGCTCCCAGCTGAGCAGAAAGCCTGATGTGGGACTTGATCCCAGGACGCTGAGATCATGACCTGAGCCTAAAGCAGCAGCTTAACCCACTGAGCCACCCAGGCACCCATAACTTCTTATTTTTAACCCATGTTTGTGTGATTACAAAATGTTTTGTACACTGCCTTGCCTTCATTAATACAATATAAGTGTAGAAGTTTTCTGGATGACTCTGAGTCTCTGTTCTGAAGACAGTCACTATGTCAGGTTGTAATAAATTGAGGACTGTCTACTGATCATATAACATTACTACTTGGCTTTACTTTTTGAGTTCTTATATTTCTTTCTTTATTTACAGGTTTTCTCTTAGGGTTAGGGTTATGGCACCTCTCTTTTATTTCTGCTATGAAAATAACTGACACACTACTTTAGTAATTGCCCTCCCCGGGGTGGCTCAGTTAAGCCTCTGGCTCTTGATTTTCAGCTCAGGTCATGATCTTAGGGTCATGAGATCGAGCCCCGCATGGGGCTTCATGCTCAGCATGGAGTCTGCTTGAGATTCTCATCCTCTCTCCTTCTGCCTTTCCTGCTTGTGTTCTTTTTCTCTCTCTCAAATAAATAAATAAATCTTTAAAAAAAATTTCTCCTCCGTATCCATTGCCTTTGATTTACTTCTTTTACTGTGCAGGGAAATCAAAATACTATAGAATTCTTTTTTTTTTTTTTTTTTAATGAGAACAATAAAGGGGGTACTAAATTCCCTCAGCATCCCAGGTAAGGTGATAAAGTATAACTGAGTTTTAGTGCAAGAACTTTGGTAGTTTTGCTAATGGGTAGATTTTTTTTCTTTACTTTCTGGCTCTTATATTTGGGATAGTAAATATTGCCAGATAAGACTTGTGGATAAATGTGTGATATTATGTGTAGGAATCAGGTCAGCTGATTAGCACATGCTAATTAATTTTGTTGCTGTAATGAAGTCTCTCTTTGCATGAATCGTAACTATTATTCTTGAATACTTCCAAAGTATTATGTAACAGGTGGTTATTCTTGAATACTTCCAAAGTGTTATGTAACAGGTGGTAAACATTTCATTTTATCAAGATAGCATGTATTGGTTGTCTCCACATTCATTATGTTGTACTAGGGTTGTGAGGTTTTCAAAGTGGTTCATTTAAGATGCCCTGCGCAGAAGGAGGACAGCCTAATTTTCAGTAAAATTTAATCCTAGCAAAATATTCATTATGGAATTTAAAGATGTGTTTGTTATATACTGTAGTAGTTTTATCTTAAGGAGAAAAACTACTGTAATACAATAATTCTTTTTGTCTAGGTATTGGTTATAAAACTGCCAAACGTCTTGAAGCGCTGGGTATCAGTAGTGTGCATGATCTTCAAACCTTTTCACCCAAAATACTACAAAAGGAGTTAGGAATTTCAGTTGCTCAGCGTATCCAGAAGCTCAGTTTTGGAGAGGATACTTCTCCTGTGATGCCGTCAGGACCACCTCAGGTATAAGATAATGATACTTATTTTAATTGAATACTGTTTGTCACACTTGAGATAAAGATTTCTGGTTTTAGTACTATGTTCTTACTATTCTAATTTGCTTACTGGGTTAGTATATGATCTCTTTCCTATGAGAAGGTTAATTTATTAAGTTAGTAAAATTTTTTTAAGTAGGCTCTCTGCTGGAGCTTGAACTCATGACCCTGAAATCAAGACCTGAGCTGAAATCAAGAGTTGGATGCTTAACTGACCGAGCCATCCAGCTGCCCCTAGATTAGTAAATATTTTTAAATTTAATCTAAGAATTAATATTTGTCTCAAGTTGGCTACCTTGATTAAATATCACTTAATTTTAACAACCTATATTGCATACATTTGGCAAAATATTTTCATTTTTAAGAAATCTTATTTTCCGATTAGTCTAATGATTTAGGAAATGGAGACCGTATAATCACCTAGTTAACACTGATTTTTTTTTCCTATGTCATAGGCACTTTACTAAGTGTTTTATGTACCTTAGCCATTTAATATTCATAACAAAGCTTCAAGGTAGGTAGTATTATTATTTGTTCATACCCTTTTTCCTCTCTCCCTTTTGTTAAAGATGAGGATACTGTACTTTAGAAAGGTTAAATAACATGTCCAAGGTTAAACTCAATCTCAAGTGCTAGGAAATTAAGAGCCTCACTGTAATTGTAAGAATAAAGCTTGGAGTTGGTACTAGAGCTTTATAATTTTCTTGACTTTCTAGTGGAGTACAGTAACTTGGAGATAAAAAGAGTTATTGTAAAAGTGAACTAAATGGCTCAAATTAAGCATGAGAGGGAAGTTAGTAAAGAATGTGCTGAATATATACGTTAGTAAAAATAAGTAATAATAATTAAAAAAAGAGGAGCACCTGGGTGGCACAGTGCCTTCAACTCAGGTCATGATCCCAGGGTCCCAGGATGGAGCCCCATGTTGGGCTCCCTGCTCACTGGGAAGTCTGCTTCTCCCAATGCCCTACCCTGTTCATGCTTGCTCTCAAATAAATAAATTTAAAAAAAAAATGTCCTGAATATTTGGCACGCATCCACATAACTGGATATGCTTATTTAGGTTTACAATAATCCCTATTTGTGCTTGTCTGATAGTCCTTTAGTGAAGAAGATTCATTTAAAAAATGTTCATCAGAAGTCGAAGCTAAAAATAAGATTGAAGAACTACTTGCCAGTCTTTTGAACAGGTGATTTTCCATTTTGCCATATCATTCTATATATTCTGTACAAAGTATATGGAAAATACAGTTGATATTCTGTCTTGGAACTTATATATTAACTGGAGACTGAACAGTGTAAAGAGAGATCATTTATCTTTGAATTTCTCTACATTATAAACTATTGCAAAGATAGTAACAGGCGCCCTTAACTAAATTTAATTAATTTGTTTCCGTTAGTCTTGATTTTAGTAACACTGTGTTTATACTGTGGTTCTTAAGGTGCCTGTAGTTACTTAAGAGGGTTTTATGGGGGGGCGCCTGGGTGGCTCAGTGGGTTAAAGCCTCTGCCTTCGGCTCAGGTCATGATCCCAGTGTCCTGGGATCAAGCCCCACATCGGGCTCTTTGCTCCGCGGGGAGCCTGCTTCCTCCTCTCTCTCCTCTGCCTGCCTCTCTCTGCCTACTTGTGATCTCTGTCTGTCAAATGAATAAATAAAATCTTAAAAAAAAAAAAAAAAGAGGGTTTATGGGTACCTTGCATCTCGACACCTATAAGAGCACCAGTGATGGAGAAAGCAGAAGAACCCTCATTATCTTCTTTGCCTCAGACTATGTGAAAGAAAATGGACTCAGACAAAAAAATAACTCAGTGGGGCTATGTGTGAGCAGTCAGTGTGGTGAGTGCAGGGCACTGGTCTGTAAGTTTGCGGGGATTATGAGTGTATGAATAGCACAGCATAAACGAAGCAAGATGTTTAGTTTTCTGATGCTCCTTTACTATCATATATCTCTCAGTGTTCCTAGAAGAATATTATCTCTTTTCCTCCCATCTCTTTGATTTCTCAAAGTGTCAGGGGTCTAGCAGTTTTGAATAGCTATGCTTCTGTAAATGAGGGTAGGATAGCTAACTATGCCTGAGAAAAAGATTTCTAGATGACTCTAAATCTCAGTAAACTGGTGAGGTAAAATTTCCTACAGCTTTGGTCTCACATGCTACGTGGTTCTCGTGTCTTGAGTCGAGCTGTGCAGCTCATCATTTGCTGCATGCAACTGGGGCTGCTGAATGACCCAGCTCCAGTGATACAATGCAGGTCGGGCCTGTGAGTGTGCTTCTGAAACTGGGTCATCTGCTCTGCTTCAGCTAAATGTGAGACTACTGTGAAATGCCTGGCCATTGGAAAGAGTTCTGCATGTAGAGAAACCACAACAATTTTATAGGCTCTCATATTTGAAGCATCAACTCAGAGATGAGGCTAGGTGCTCTAAACCTGTAAATTACCAACTATGAACCATTTATCCTCACCTCTGCTTTCTACTCCCTTTCTACACCGTGGCCCCTGATTACGGTGACTGAGGTATAATACCATCGAAGTTACTGGCAAAAAAAGAATTGTGTTTGTGTGAATGTATTTGCCCTCTAGTTTAAGCTTGCTTAGAATATAACCTTTTCCTAATATGTCTTCATTAGTTATAGGAACCAAGTAACACTCTTTAAATTGTATAATGACTTAAGAGAAAAAGTTTAACTAGAAGATATTTAAACTAGTAACGTGTTTACAGGATATCACACATTATGTAAGATATCTTGTTATCTTAGTAAGGCAGGAATCAAGATGTTTTGTAATAAAGCCGTAAAGAAAAATTACTTATTATGGAAAATCTAAATTTTCCAGTTCAGAATCTTCAATTTGAGTGTGTTTAACAAGGTACAATATTTGTATTTTGTTTGTGATTTTTTTTTTAATGCATTGCCGTACATATAAGAAGGATAATATTATTTTTTTAAGATTTTAATTATTTATTTGAGAGAAAGAGAGAGAATGAGAGGCAGAGAGCATGAGAGGAGACAGGTCAGCTGGAGATAAGCAGACTGTCCCGCTGAGCAGGGAGCCCCACATGGGACTCGATCCCGGAACTCTAGGATCATGACCTGAGCTGGAGGCAGTCACTTAACCAACTGAGCCACTCAGGTGCCTAGGTGGAAAATACTATTTTTAAGGACATTTATTTTAGTAATTAGATTTTATGCTTCTTAAGTGAATTTCCTATCTCATTAAAACTTTTCAACACTAAAATTAAGACCATTTGAATAGAACACATTTTTAGATGCATGTACAGGTACTACTTAAATATTATATGTTGTTGATCTTTTAAGTTATTGCTCTTATTTGCCATATAATGGTGATATTACTGTTCCTTGGGTCTATTCAGGGAGTGCTCTTTGACAAAAGTTATCTCATTTAAAATTTTTTTCTTTTTGTAATTTTTTTTTTCCCTGTGTAAAAAAAAAAAAATCTGTCATTTCTCATGTATTTGCCTTCACCAGTGAATAAATGCATTATTTTCTTAATTTCCTGCTGATTTTAATAAGTTGCTTTTAATTTTTTGTGACTTTGGATCGTAAAATGGTTTGTTACAATTGTATCTTATTTCTCTTCTTTTCCTGATTGCACTCGATTCTGAATGAGTCCTGAGAGCCTTACACTTAAGATTTGTTTGGGCTATTCAGAAACTTGTATTGCTTACTGCCTAGGTATCAACCATATTTATAATTCTTTCAGTTACTAAATCTGATACCTCTAGAGATTAAAAAAAATCTTTAGGTAATACTTTTCTAATTCCCTGTTTCTGCTTGCTCTTTCCTTTTAGAGTATGCCAAGATGGAAGGAAGCCACATACAATCAGATTAACAATCCGTCGGTATTCATCTGAGAATCATTGTAGCCGTGAGAGTCGTCAGTGCCCTATTCCATCGCATGTAATTCAGAAGTTAGGGACAGGTATGGGCTAATTTTCTAATAATTTAATTGCAGGTTGAGCTCCTAAAAAAACAAACTTTGTATTAGAATTATGATCCAAAGATGGAGAGTCTTCATAGGGAGTTAGGAACTATTAAGTACCTTCGTTCTATCAGGAATTTTTACAGGAAAACTTTTTTGTTGTTTTTAAATAGATAATAAAAATAAAAATGCAGTTAACAGGGTTTCCCAAGTTCAGAGAAGATAAAATTACGATAATGTGTTATATTATCACACAAGATAAGTTATCTTGTTATCAAGATAAGAAGTTATAACAGGATAACTTCTTTATGGACACTTGTTTCCATTTTTTGCCTCTTATGAAAAACGGTGCTATGAGTATTTGCATGCAAGTCATTGGGCAGATTATATGTTTTTGTTTATCTTGAATAGATTACCAAGAGTGGAATTGCTGGGTTATATGATAAGTTGAACTTTAAGAAACTGCAATACTTTTTCCCAAAGTGGGTATACAATTTCCATTCTTACCAAGAATGTATGAGGGTTCCAGGCTTTCACATTCTCTCTCACATTTAGTATTGTCAGTTTACTTTATTATAGTCATTCTTGTGGCCTTGTAGTCGTATGGCATTGTAGTGGTATTTCATTTTTCTCTTTTATGGATAATGCTTTTGGTGCCCTATCTAAAAATTCTTTGCCTAACCCAGAGTTACAGATATTTCCTCCTGTGTTTTCTTTTGGAAATTTATAGTTTTAAGCTTTACACTTAGATCTACTTTGAGTAAATTTTTGAGTATGGTGTAATATAAGAGGCTTGTTCATTCTTTTGTATGTGGATATCCAGTTGTTTGAACAGAATTTGTTAAACAGATTATTCTTTCTTGAATTGTCATGGCATCTTTGTCAAAAACTAATTGACTCTAAAGAAGTTTATTTCTTGATTTTCTTATTTCATTGATTTATGTGGTTATTGTTATACCAGTTCCACCCTATCTGATACTTTGTTATAAGTTTTGAAATTAAATAGTGTAAATTCTTCAGCTTTGTTCTATTTTTAAATTGTTTTGGCTGTTCAGGATCCTGGGCTTTTGTGGAAAGATTTTAAAATGGGAAATTGATTTTTTTTTACTTATTGTAAGTTTATTCAGACTTTCTATTTATTTTGAGTCAGTTTTGGTAACTTTTATCTTCTAGGAATGTATCCATTTCATTCAAGTTGTCTAGTTTGTTGGCATGAAGTTGTCAATATTCCCGTATTATCTGTCTAATTTTTGTAGGATCTATAGTGATGTCTCTTCTTTCAGTCCTGATTTTGCTGTTGCATGTATTCTCCTTTTTTCTTTATCATTCTAGTAGAGGTTTATCTGAGTGAGACCTCACTCAAAGGTTTAATTGATCTTCTGAGATCCAACTTTTGTGTCATTGATTTCTCTGTTGTTTTTCTACTTTCTATTTAACTTATTTCTGCCCTGTGTTAGTTTAATTTGTGTTAGTTTAATTTGCCTTCTTCCCTCTGATTTCTTAAGATGGAAGCTTACATTATTTGTTTTATACTTACCTGATTTTCTAATAATTCAAGTTTAAGTTTTATATTTCCTTTTAGTGCTTTAGCTGCATTCCATAACATTTGTTATATTTCCTTTTCATTAAGGTCAAAATTGTTTCTAATATCCCTGGTGATTTCTTCTTTGACCCCTAAGCTTATTTAGAAATTTGTTGTTTAATTTCCAAATATTTGATGATTTCCCAAATTTCATTCTGTTGTTGATTTCTGCTTTAATTTCGTGTTGATCATAGAACATATTTTGAGTCATTTTGGCCTGTCTAGATTTATTGAAAGTAATTTTATTACCTAGCATATGGTCTATCCTAGAAAATGCATCATTTATGTTTGAAAAGAAAAATTGAGCATCACTATCAAACCATTCTACCTAACTAAAATTTTTGGAAGACTCCACCAAGATAACATTTTTGAGTGGCAATTTGTTTGTGTGTAGAATTCTTGACTGTTTCTCTTTCCATGGTTTTAATGTACGATTCTGTTATCTTCCAGTTTCCATTTTTTTTTTTGGGGGGGGGGTCCATTATTTTTTGACGAGGAGTCAGCTCTTAATAGTTTTATCAATCTCCTTCCAATTGGGAGAGAATAACCACACAAAAATTTGAATAGAGAAAGTTTCACAGAATTATTAAACTGTATTAGGGAAGTGACTATAAAGGTATAAAGAAGACTCTTTAGAGGTATTCAAGGGCTGTGGAAAAGTACCTGAAGAAGGACAACTTAAAAAAGAGAGTCCCTCTATCCCTTAAGGAGAGGGTATGGTTATAGAACATTTGATGGTAGAGAAATCCTTTGAATTACCTGGCCCAGAGATGATCCATAGTTATTAGACAAAGAGAAAGCCATCCTTTGATCTGTGGATGAGCTGAGGCTGGTTGGTGGGCACACAGAAGGAGTTGGGATGTTGGGAACTTGCTCATTGGTAAGGCAGTGAATAATTTGGAGCATTCAGTGTTTGTGTTAGGAGGATTTTTGTTAATAGCCCTTTAGAATGCAGGCAAGCTGAAGCTGGTGGGTGGTTGTGGTAAAGGCATCTGTATTCAGCTAGTTCAAAGGTGGAAGGTATGGTGCCTGCATAGGAAGACCTGGAGGAAACAACCCTCTGAGACAGAGGCAAGTCATTAGGTAGGTGTGCAGAATGAGTGGGGGCACTGCTGTGGTATGTACGGCATTTGAGTTGGTAGTGCCATGGTACATAGTCACTAAGCTCAGGCTGGGGTTTGAGGTTGCTGAGGGACTGAGTGTTCCACATGTGTGTGATGGAAAGCACTATTAGGTGTCCCCACACATATGTACTACAAATAAACCAGGTAATGGGAGAAAGAAAAATTAAATGACCGTACATTGGAAATTAGTGGAACCAGGTTCCTGGAACCAGGAAGAGAAAGGTGGTTTCTCTTCCTTCTTCTCTAATGACAAGGTGTAATGTCATATTCAATGTGAAAAATTTTAGAGTCTAGTGCGTTATCACAGAGCAGGTACTGATGGGTGAATTTGGAGCTGAGTTGTACTGCACTATAATGATAGTTGTACTGTTTGTATTGTTATTCTCCTTTATGGGATGAGTCTCTTTGTCTTTTATCAATTTGACCATGATGTGTTTTCTTCTTGTGGGCTTTTTTTCCCCTTTTCCTTTTCTAACTTCTTTGAACTTAAGCTGCAGAATCTACCTCCCCTGTGATGTGTGGCCTCTGATTTCTTTACTTAGCTTTCCTTTCTTTTCTTTTTTAATTTTAATTTAAATTTTTTATTTTGGCTTCCTAGGTTACCTCTATGTCTGCATAGTTTAGTGGTTAGCCAATAACTGGTCAAAGCTTTTGGGCAGATGCAAGAGCCTGAAAGGCTTATGCCTACTGTAAATGGATAAGTGCATGGGTTGGAGAGTGCTTTAAAAATTTAGGCCATTTTCGGGGCGCCTGGGTGGCTCAGTGGTTTAAAGCCTCTGCCTTCAGCTCAGGTCATGATCTCAGGTTCCTGGGATCGATTCCCGCATCGGGCTCTCTGCTCGGCAGTGAGCCTGCTTCCTCCTCTCTCCCTCTCTGCCTACTTGTGATCTCTGTGTGTCAAATAAATAAATAAAATATTAAAAAAAAAATTTTAGGCCATTTTCAACTCTGCCTTGGCTTTTATTTTCTGTAGCCTTCTTGCATCTTCCATGTATGCTTGTTGCCATTTCCGCCAGTGATGTGTAGAGAACTTGGGCCCTTTCTTCCCTCCCTCCCATGTGCATGCAGTCTCCCAGTCAGCTGGGGTTGTGAGGAGAGCTTATCCAGTCCCTCTGTGGTTCTCTCATTTCTACATCTCCTAGTTAAATTTATGGCTCATCCACTGATTTTTCACTCAACTCCAGCCACAATTGCAACCTCAGGCTAGAGAGAGCTGTGCGATTTCCCCTGTTGTTTCCTAAAGTTTATTCTCTTTACTGGAAGTACTGCTGGGAATGGGCTTTTGCCCTCTGCCTCAAATCAAATCTGTCCTTTCTGGCAGCAAAGCTACTGGCTCTCATAGCCAGCCTCACCATGGCAGGACTACTGCTAGAGGAAGATACAAACAACCCCAGCCAGTAAGGCTGCAGTTTCATCCTTTCTTATCTAAGTTCTACTGGCTTTTATTTATTTTATTTTTTAGATTTTTATTTATTTATTTGTCAGGTGGGTGGAGACAGCACAAGCAGGGGGAGCAGCAGGCTGAAGGAGAAACAGACTCCCCACTGAGCAAGGAGCCCGATGTAGGACTCAATCTCAGGTCTCTGGGATCATGCCCTGAGCAGAAGGCAGACAATTACCCAACTGAGCCACCCAGGCATCCTTCTACTAGCTATTATAAATCGGTGCTTCTCAGTTTATTTGCTTTTGGCCCACTTTCAGATCCTCAGTTTTGTCCAGTTTTATTATAGTTTTATGGGGAAAGCTTACTCCTATAACCAGAAGTCCCATATTTCAAATCATTTGAAAACTTTAACTCATTTGGCATTTAGTATTAGTGTTGAGATAATCCCAGGGTGGTATATAATGTCGGGTTGTCCCAGTGATATCTGTTTAGGATTTTAACTTCTTAATCTAAGCAACATGAATTAGATTAAGCTTTTAATATAAATTATGATATAATGTGCTTATAGTCTTCTCAAACATTTTGTTTAGGAAATTGCGATGTGATGACCCCAATGGTTGATATACTTATGAAACTTTTTCGAAATATGGTGAATGTGAAGATGCCATTTCATCTTACCCTTTTAAGTGTGTGCCTCTGCAACCTTAAAGTATTAAATACTGCTAAGAAAGGGACTATTGATTATTATTTAACACCATCGTTATCAACAACTTCACGGTCTGGCAAGCGCAGTTTTGTAAGTACACTCTTATTGAATTTGTGTGGTTAAATTACAAATCTAAGTTTCTGTTCCATTGATACAATTTAGAGATTCTTTTGGATTATATTATTTGAATGCCTTACTTGTGTATAGTACCTCTCATATTATGGTTGCTAGCCATAAGTGTACTGTACTGTGATCTGAAAAGAAAACAAAAGAATCACTGGATAAAAGAGAAAACTGTTATGGAGGTTCCTTGTTTTGTTAAAACAAGTGTTAAAACATTTTTTAGCAACAAAAATATGATTAGCTAATAAGTATGAAAATATTTCTAGATACCAGAAATAAAATCTTTGTCTATTAATTGTAAACTACCAGCATTCCCCCAATGTTTTTGTTAAAGTATTTAACTTTTCTTGGCTTTGAAATTACATTGAATTTTGATAGCAAGATTGATGTAGTATGAGTACTCATTCTACAATTGTAGAAATTAAGAGTGTGGCAGTAGAGAAACAGAGGCCAGTCATATTTTCCAGTGACTAAAATAAAACCTTGTATACGTGGCCATTTAGCAAATGTCTAGTAAATATGGGATGCTTTAAAAAATAATCATATTTTACTAAATTGTGCTTGCCTACAATTAACTCTTAATTACAGTATTTTTATTATTTTCTTTGTTTTAATGTTTGATCAGTATAATTTCAGTAGTATTTTCATTTACATTTCAGTTTAAAATGAGAACAGAGTATTGTTACAGAAGTAGTGAATCAGGACCCTCTTCAAAGTACTTTTTCCTGTGGCCCTTTTTATTCCCTTTATTAACTGAAATTTAAAAATGAGTTTACTTTTTGCCTTTAATTTATAGTGGTATTAGTGAGGTAAACATAAGCAAAAGTACCTTGTACAGGTCTGGCATACAGTATATATAGTGTCCCAAATCTCTTTTCCTTTTACTTTTTTTTTTCAGTTACTGTTGTGTTGATGTTTCCTGAGTTATATTTGATTGGGTATACATTTTCCTGGTGCTTAAAACCAGAGGGAAAATTTAAGTGAAAAATTTACGTAGAAAAATTATGAAAATTAGAACTGAAAGTACCTTTAAATTTTTATTTTATGTAAATATAAACAGTGTTATAGCTTCATATTGATGTTGGATTTTACCATAGAAATATTTTTTTTTGTCTGTTAACTGTTACACTTCAGAATAAGGATTTTGAGAAAACCAGCCCTTGATGATCTATGCATATATATTTTTTAGATAGTCATAGGCGAATCATTTACTTTTCTAGGCTACCTTTCCTTTATTTACAGAATTGTGAATTTGAAAACACCGTTGTTAAGGTGCTTTCCAAGTTTCCAAACAAATAACTATCTTCTGGCTCAGTGCTATCTAGGAAGGAAACCTCTCCCTAGAATAGTGACTAAAGATGCACACAATAGTGTGACTAATTTTGGTGGATTTATTATCTCTAGTAGTTTGGAACTGGCCAAAAGGAATGAAATTACTGAGTAGATTAGAAACATGTTAGTCAGAAAATGGCTATAGTACTCTTCAGCGGCATGAATATTTCAAAGATATCAGATATCTTAATTACTCTGTTATTCTTGTGTTCTAGAAAATGAAAGATAGTCATATGGAGGATTTTTCCAAAGAAAAAGAAACAAATTGGAATTTTCTACCATCCGGAAGAATTGAAAGTACAAGAACTGGGGAGGCTCCACTAGATCCTAATTTTTCCAAAGAAAAAGACAGTGATGAATCCCCACTCTGCTCACTTCCCGAAGGTATTGACCAAGAAGTCTTTAAGCAGCTTCCAGTAGATATTCAAGAAGAAATCCGTTCTGGAAAATCTGGAGAAAAAGTTCAAGGCAAAGGAAGCTTAAGTTGTCCATTACATGCCTCTAGAGGAGTATTATCTTTCTTTTCTACCAAACAAATGCAAAGTAGTCCCTTAAATCCTACAGATCATTTATCCAGTAGTAAACAGATACCTGTATCTCCCTGTGAACCAGGAACATCAGGTTTAAATAGCGGTAGTTCCTCTTCTCCATGTAGCCAAAAGGATTATTCACATTATATAGACAGTAGATTAAAAGATGAACGAATGAGTCAAGGACCTAAAGAATCTCAAGGATTTCATTTTTCAAATACAAACCCTGCTGTATCTATTTTCCATTCATTTCCCAATTTGCAGAGTGAGCAACTATTCTCCAAAAACCGCACTACAGATAGCCATAAGGAATCAGTAGTGACAGTTTCTCATCATGAGAGACTTACAGAAAATAAAGAGCAAGATTCTAGTGATGAGAAAATTACCTTTCCTTCTGACATTGATCCTGAAGTTTTCTATGAACTACCAGAAGAGGTACAAAAAGAGCTGTTAGCAGACTGGAAGAGAGCAGCATCAGATTTCCCCTTTGTACATAAATAAGCATGTTCAGAAAAAAGGTCTAGAAAGCAAAGGAAAGGCCATTGTTCTCAGATTTAGTAGTTTATTAAGCTCCTCTAAGTTAAACACTAATAGATATTCAATAATGTAGAAATCCAATATATAATGTTCTAGATAAAAGCAAGTGTAGTTATGGGAAGTAAATTCTGGCACAAAGCATAAAAATACTCATACCAAGAAATAATGTAAAATTATCCTCTTATTTCTAAAGTTATTTTATATTGCTTTTCAATAAAAAGAATATCATGGTTAGTACATTTCCCATAAATGGGGGAGAGGGGATACACCTGTATGTAGAAACAAATAGACTAGCCAAATCATTGCTATGACATAGCAAAGAGTCATGTTTTTTCTGTGAAATATGGAATGTCTCAAGAAATTCAGCCCATTAGGGGACGCCTGGGTGGCTCAGTTGGTTAAGCAGCTGCCTTCAGCTCAGGTCATGATCCCGGCGTCCTGGGATCGAGTCCCACATCGGGCTCCTTGCTCTGCAGGGAGCCTGCTTCTCCCTTTGCCTCTGCCTGCCATTCTGTCTGCCTGTGCTCGCTCTCTCTCTCTCTCTCTCTCTCATAAATAAATAAAATCTTAAAAAAAAAAAAAAAAATTCAGCCCATTAGGAAACTTCCAAATAAGAAATTCTGCCGCCAGCTACTAAAAACACAGAAGTACTCTTGTTGAAGTACTGTGTGCCATTTAATACGTTTTTTAAAAAATACCAAAGCAGTGTATGTCCTATTAATGCTTTTGAGTACACCAGAGCCTACTGCAGTGCCTAGTACGTGGAAAGCACTCTGTGATTATTGAATGAATGGTGTGGCAGGGGCCAGGTGGGAGGTTGGGCAGGGGAGTGTACATGTTGTAGAGAACTAGAAGGAACTCTCCATCCAGGTAGATTAAGGGAAGGATGGACACTAGAAAGGCAACGTGATAGGTTTTATAAGAAGGCTGGGTAGTTGGGTGCCCGGGCGGCTCAGTGGGTTAAGCGGCTGCCTGCGGCTCAGGTCATGGTCCCAGAGTCCTTGGCTCAAACCCTGCATCGGGCTCTTTGCTCAGCAGAGAGCCTGCTTCTCCCTGCTGCTCTGCCTACTTGTGCTCTGTCTCTATCTCTGTCAAATAAATAAATATATATATTTTTAAAAGATGCTGGATAATTGGAAAAGTCCATTTCCTTCTGGCTAGTCTGTGTAGTGTTTTAAAGTAATGATTAGATGTTTTTGTATCTTCTTATTTTTGGAGATCAGATTAAGGATATCATATCCACAACAAATATACAAAATTACTACATCGATAGGTGTTCTCTTTTTCCCATTGTTAATTGCCTTCCCCTTTTGCCTGCAAGGTTAAAAATTGGGTATAAGATTGTGGACATCTTACAATTTTTAAGATGTAAATTTCTAGAACACATCAAAGTATACCACAGTACTGATTCAGAAGAGTCCTGTTTTCGAGTTTATAACCTTTGCAGATACAATCTAAAGAAAAGATAATAAAAATACAGTATACAAATGTGAATAAAGAGTAATGGAAAGGGGCTTCTGGGTGGCTCTGTGGGTTTAATTAAAGCCTCTGCCTTCAGCTCAGGTTATGATCCTGGGGGCCTGGGATTGAGCCCTGCATCAGGCTCCCTGGAGCCTGCTCCCGGCCCCCCTCTCTGCCTGCCTCTCTTCCTACTTGTGATCTCTGTCTGTCAAATAAATAAATAAAATCTTCAAAAAAAAAAAAAAAGTAATGAAAAGATACTTTCTTTTAGGTAAGAAGTTTTAACTTAGATTTCTTGAAATTTTCAATTTCCTAACCAAGGATTTTAACAGGGGGTTTGGGGTTATCAGAAACAAAAACTTAGAGCAAGAACATCAAAACTTATTCATATGCAAATATTTAGTACCCTGGATCAAGGAGTATGGAATTTTCTACAGGTAGAATACTGGTAAGGTTGTTAAACTGGTAAAAAGGATATATTATTTTTTTAGATAATACATTTAAAAAAAAATTTCTAATAATCCTTGTATTATTTCAGCCAGAAATTATCAAACAGCTAGAAAGGTTTAAAAAAAAAAAGGTAAGAGTTAAACAGTTTTGGCCAGTTTAAAAAGGGAATAAAATAGTAGTTAAAAGTACATTTTTTGAAGGGAGTGTGCAGTGGGTATTATCACAGCCTTGTTACTTACTCTGTGGCTTTAACTTAGCCTTTCAACATCTTCGTGCCTCTGCACTCTGACTTTTTAGTCTATCTTTATTTCCATATCCTTTTAATCCTTGTTTTTTTTTCCCCCTATGGTGTTCTACAGATTTACTATAATGTTTGCAGATGTGTATTTCCTTTTTATCCTCAGTATATGCTGGCTCCTGTTTCTTTCAATTCATGTTAATTCTGTAAACTATTTGGCCACTAGGATTGCACAAATGATGGACTTCTTATTCCATCCTTCCTGTCCCTTAATCTCACAGTTTTTGTCATCTTGTTTATCTGCTGCATTTTGGTTAATTTCATCAGCTCTCTCACTCATTAGCTTGTTTTTCAGCATTATCTGGTCTACTGTTTAAAATACTAATGATGGTTTTAATTTTAATAATTATATTTTTCATCTGATTCTTTTTCTAATCTTCCCACTTATTTATTATAGCCTTTTATAAGTCTTTCTAATTTTTAAAAACTCATAACTACTTTATATTCTATTTTTTATAATTTCAATTTTTTAAATCTTTTATAAGTTTTTGGATATTGTTGTGTACCTGTTGATTAGCCTGTTTCCTTGAGTGTGTGGCCGAGCTTAGTCTGTGGGAAGAGGAAGGACCAAAACTGTGTGTGCTTCCCTCCAGACAGGATTTCATTTGCTTCCAGTGAGTCAGCACGAACCCATTTGGTATCACTGTAGCCCCTGAAGGTCCTTGCTGAATGCAGTTGTCTTAGTTTGTCTTATTTTCAGCTCCCCGACCTTGCTACTGTCCTAAGGTTTTGTCTCCAAAGGTTTATTGCAGGCATTTCTATCAGGGTGAGCCCTACCTTTGAAGTTTGCTTTTTGCCTGATGCTTCCTGTTCCTTTCCTGCTTTTGTTTCAGCTCAATTTTTTTCCTCCGTGATTGTAGGGGATTGGGGCCTGGAGATTTCCCTTATATAGTTCAACCAATAATGAATTAAAAAGTCTGTTTTCTCTGGAATCTAGTATTTTGTATTGAAGGAACTCTTAAGAGTATTTGTCCCACCATAGTGCAGAAGTGCAAATCTACTTGGATTTATTTTTTCCATATTATTTGTGCTTTCTGTTTTTCTCTTTTTCTATGCTATGATTCTTTCCCACCCTTTTTCTCATCTTGTTTTTATATTACTTGAATTTTTTCAATATATTTTCCCTTGACTGATTTGAGATGTAGACATTCTAAGTACTCTTGATTACCCTTAAAAATTGAACATGCCTAGCATCCAAAAATGGTAAATAGATGTACCTTCTCCCAAACAAGATAAAGATGTTAAATATGTTAATTTTAATCCTCTAGTTCTTTATTAACCTCCAAAATGGATTTATTAGTATTTTATAGAGTTAATGTTTAGGTTTGTGAACATGATTATCTTTTCTTTCTGCTCACCTTTTTTACTTGCATCTCATATATTCATTCCTTCCAGGCAGAGTTCACTTTCTGAAACTATGTCTTTGAAACCGCGGTTTTGAGCTGACTTCTTTGGACTCTTTTAAGATATTCACTGTTATCTTTGAGAGCTGCAGTTTTTATTACATGTCTAGCTACATGTTTGTTCTTATGGTGGTTGGGATTCAGACGCTTCCTGAATCTGCAGGTGTACGCCTTCATCAAATCTGGGTTAATTTCAATATTTAAAAATATTGTATTGTGAAATTTTTATGCAGAAAAGTGCATAAGTAAGTTAACGGGTAATTATAAGCAAAAATTATGTAACTAGGTCACGAAATAAAACATTCCAAGGGATCAGGAATTCCAGAGGTTTTTGTTTGTTTTTGGTTATGTGACTGAACTTAAGGGGTTCACTATTGGGGGTTGAACATCACTTTGAACACAACCCAAGGAAATGTTGAAAGCAAAGAACTTTTTATTGCTTGTTACATGTAAGAAGACAGGGAAGTAGCTCAGGAAGAGCCATCTCACCATGTTGTTAGTGCAGGAAGTGTTTATTCGGTGTAAAGGTGGGAGCAGGGAGCTTGCACAGGCACTTTTGGTTCAATTGCTCGTGCTTATTAGCACATCCAGGGGCTAGTGCATACATCCTATGTTCCAAAAATGGCAGAAACTCCACCTATAGGAGGAGATCTTAGTATTATAATGAACTAAAGGTAACTTGAGGACAACTCAGGGAGGCTTCTGCCCTGGTCTTTAGCTCCATTCCAGCTCAAACTAGCTCAGATACGGGGCTCACAGGTGAGACACACCTAGCAAGGGGCTGTGGGGTGAAACACCTACTCCAGCTTATACTTGGCTGGAACTGTTGGTTCTGCAAAACAAAACATACTCCTTCCCTGCTTTTGTCCCTTCCCCCTCCTCCCTCCTACGGAGAGCTTTGAGCTGTCTTTGAGTAGCTTTCCAATGCATCCTACCTAACTGTTGTTTTCTTATTAAATTTAGATATAATTGGCATGTTGTTTCAGGGGTACAATGAAATTATTTGGTATTTGTATATATTGCAGAATGATCACCACAGTAAGTCTAGCATCTATCACATTCATAGTTACAAAAATTTTTTTTCCCTTGCAATGAGAACTTTCAAGATCTAAGGAAGTCCAGAGTTTTTCTTAGCATTTTATCATGTTGGGAGGGTTTAGTAAATCATTGACCTTGTGGTTAAACTCAGTCTCCAGTTCGCTGGGGCTCATCCCTCCCAGGATGTCAGGATGGCTCAAGGTCTCAACATTCTAATCATGTGGTGGTCTTTCTGGTGTGGGCTGTAACAATCCTAAACCTTACCGTTGGCATAAACTATCTAGGGCCCCCCAGTGAGTCACCTCATTAGCGTATACCATGATGAATAAAAAAGATACATTGTTTGGGAAATTCTAAGGGCTTTAGGAGCTCCACGCCAGGAACCCTGGACAAGACCAGATAAATTCTACTGCAGAATATTTGGAAATAAGTCTTGAGATGTTTTATGACCCCAAATGTGCCCTACCTTAGTAAGTGTTCTGTGTACACTTGAATGTGTGCTTTGCTGTTGGATGGAATATTGTATAAATGTCAATTAGTTTTATTTAGTTAGTGTTCAAGTCTCCTGTATCCTTATGGATATT